TGACACACCTCAGAGTGACAGTGATAAGTTTGCGTTTACAGTGATGGAGAACGCACCACGTTTTACACAATTAAACCAGAAGTTAGAAGCAAAAGATCCCGATCAGGTAAGCAGGCTGCCAATATTTTCTTTGTATAATGAATTAAAGGATAGAACATGAGTTGAATTAATCTGTTTGATGCCATCCTGAACTTCTGCAATAAGTGGTTTATTAAAGGCCTGACTTTTCTGAATTTAAATTTCTTTAAATTTTAATAGGATCCTATCAGGAACATCTAGGATACAATATATTTGAATCAATTATTTCAGTTGACCGCTAAAACAACTGTTAATTATTAACTATTAACTAATAACCAAACTTATTCACTAATGGTTAATTTAGAATTTTAAGCTATAGTTATCTGCTTAGGGAATGCACATGTACCAAGAATCTATAGTCTATGTCATTAATTCCCTTGATGTTCTAATCTACTTTACTACTTAACGCTATCTCTCTAATAAATAGCCAAATATTTACGCACTCTAAGTTTTTACATACTATGTGATCATGACTGCACACACATGGCAGGGTTTTGTAAGCAGAACTCTTCAAAGTAGTTTGTGATAATTTGTTTCTACGTGTGTTGTCACGCTGAATGACGGAATCAGCTTCCGTATCAAAATAGCCAAGACAGAAAATCTAATAATTATTCAGTCACAACAGTGAGTCAAAATGTTTCATGAAGGACTGATCTTTTGCTCATGTTTGCGAAATTTCGATGAGTAAAATCACAGACAACGTACAGCCAAGTTCGAGTAGCCAAAACACACCAATAATTTGCTGTTAGCAAGTGAGATCCCTTATTAAAGGCTGCTAACTGTAAGTTGATCAGGCTCATATATCAGCTACGTTACAAAATAATACCATATACTATCCTAAATCACTGTATAATCCGTATGAGGGGCACAATTCAGTGGTTCTGGATAATGCTAAGTACTGCAAGTTTAGTGAGTAATAAAGTGGAAAGAGACTGTGGAACACTCTAAACAGTTGGAAATCTTTAGTAATTTCTGCACAGAAACTGGACATATTTCTTGTTACCAAAAAAGTAAGTCCTTCGGCCACTCCGTAGATAACAATAATTCAGAGGAACTCTTAAATACAATCGCATTTAAGAAGACAAATCTTACCACTTAAATTTAACATAAACCAGCAGAAGTATTTCCGAATATAACCGCTAAAAACTGTTGAGTAAACAAAATTTACCTAAATAAGTGTTTTATCTATAAATAATCAGAAAATACAGATGGACAGTTCAAGAACCAGAAAATAAAGAAAACTGCTGAAACTCTAAAAAGAGTAGGTGGTGTAAAAATATCCTATTCATGGGGAGGGGCTATTCAAGTTTATAATTTCATTGGTGATGAAGATTTTAAAAGAGGTAAACCAAATCATTCTGCGTAAAATCCAGATAATCTGGATGTACTGAATTATATTTAAGTTTAGTGACAGATTGAAGGTTCAAACATCTAAACAATCTATTTACAATGGTCTGCAACACTTTAGATCATCGGAAAGGTTTGATTCATGAATCAGATAGGAGGAAGTAATCATTAACTGTAATCTGAAGAAAGCTGTTTCCATGAAATTTACTCTGAGCAGGAAACTCCATATTAGATATGATCGTGTTTAAAAGGAATCTGGATGAAATCGATTATTACATGACAGTAAACCTCACAAATTATTATCAGTCCTGAACACAAACGTGTATATTCAACTTTCGTCTCACTTTTAATATTCCCTTTAAACTACACTTTCAAGGGTAGGGTTGTGAATTCCGTTTGCAAAGTGCTCGAATTATGTGGTTTAACTGGCAATAATAGATCCCTCACAGTTCAGTAATCCATAACTACTTGAATTTCACCTGTTCGAGTATATTTTATGACGGTAGCAGAATTAAAATGTGCACAGTTTTATTAAACATAAATGTCATAATTTTACCGTTGAACCGCAAATCGTTTGCACACCTTTGTACATTCAGTAGCGGATCATCATTTTTACAAAAGTGTTTGTATATTTTCATAATCGCATGTGCATAAATCATAAAATCTTGCTTTTTCACACTTTTTATCCATTAGGGTGACAATGGAAGAGTACAATTTTCCTTACTGGCAACATATGCTCTAACAAAACCATCAAGAGGTCACCAGTTCATTGGATCTTCTTCAAATATGTTGAATAGTTTTGAACAGTTCAGTGGAGGTCCTGATCCGAACCTCAGTGATGAGGCTGGAATAACACGTCATGTAGTTGACCAACCTATCTTCCGAATTACACCAAGTGGAGCAATCGAAACTTTAGTAGAGCTGGACAGAGAAACAGTGCCTGCATATATTCTCAAAATCGGTGTTCGTGACCGTGGAGTTCAGCCACTTGCAAGCACCACAATGTTAAGGGTAAATGTACTGGATGCAAATGATAACGCCCCTCTATGGATTTTCCCAACTCCTGTAGATAGAACAATAAATCTAACTACTGCAATGAAACCTGGGAGCTTAGCTGGTAGACTAAGAGCGGAAGACGCAGATGCCCTGGAAGCTGGTCGAGTGGAATATCTTTTCCTTGGTCCAAGAGGTGAAACGATTGAAGGTGTTAGTCTTGAAGAAGGCCTACTCAATGTTATTAATCCTCCTAAACCAAGAGTAATAAAAACAGCAAAAAATGGACAGAAACCGTCTTCACAGGTAGAAGACTTAAAGGGCTACCGTGCGGGCCCACTTTATCTGAATGGTACAACTGGTGAAATATGGGTGGCTCAAGCACTGTCATCAGGCACAATCAATTTGCATTTACGAGCACAAGATCAAGGAACTCCACGTTCACACACTGATGCATGGCTAACAATAAATGTCTTTATCGACCCTAGCGAAAGCATCGGATTTTTGAGTTTTGGTGGAGATGGTACGTTGAACGTGACTATAATTTTGGCTATGATAACTGTAACGGCCATCATTTCCCTATTTTTGATCATCGGAATAGTGTGTGTCAGACGGAGACCTACGAGATACGCTATGGCTCGCAATGTAAATGGCACCGATGGCGCTGTTTCGCCAGGAAATGCAACTACAACCTTTTCTATGGATATGACAAAAGATACCATGTCAACAAATATTAATGGTGGTTGGTCTTCACCTGTAGGAACCTATGGTGCAAACCATTTTATACCAGGCCAAGCTAATGCAGGAAATACAATAATAGAAGATGGTCAAATGTTTACAACACTGTATGGACATGGAGGGGTAATGGGATATGGGGCGGTTATGTCTCCAAGTGATACAGCAAGTATGATTTATGTTCCACAAGCCCAAACTACACCGAATATGATGGGTTCCATGGCAGGCTCAATGACACCAGTTCCAGTTGACATGACACCAACAAGTCCAGAATATCCCTCTCGAAACCAGATGCACACTTTCGGGGTAAGATAAACTATTCACTTAAACAGATCAGTTTAAAAGTTTTGTTTTCTAAAGTTCAGTAAATTTCCTCGCAATTTTTAGATATTCAGGGAAGTATAGTATTATTTCATATTATAGTAATATGGCATCAATAAACAGTCAAATTACGAATTAAAGTCAGTTGTAATATTGAAAGTTTAATGACTGTTGAGTTAATTAAAGATTGTCGGTTTCCACCAAGTCAGACAAGAAAAAACTTACCTGTGGTACTGGTTAGTTTTTTTAAATTCCTTTGAGTTCCCTGTGGAATATAGGGCTTCAGGCTAGAGACTTGACGTTTCTGTAGCTGTGGTGATTATTTTTACAGGATGAGGTTGCTAGCCTCATGCCCAACCATCCCTCTTTAACAGTCTTATTACTGGCTTAGCGAGCTAAATGAGTGAGTGGATCGGCCGGGATCGAACCCCGGACCACCTGCGTGGTTAGCGAATACTCTAACGCTGTGCCACCGACACATGGTATTAGTTAGTGGTTGCGCTAAATGTCGCGAATTTGAAGGAGTTGAAGTTCATGGACCATTGGGTCGGATCCCACTGGCTGAATGGTCTACGTACCTGTCTTGTAACCACAAGATCCTCGGTGACTGAGTACTGCTGAAGAGCTCTAAACCAGGATGGAGTAGCTGTCCAGTACTCCCAGGTTTTTCAGTGCTTCTCTATTTAATGGCAGCTCGTGATCAGTCATGTGATTAGTGTGCATTAGTTAATTACTAATTTCATATAGAAGTGCAGAACTGGATACGGAATCAGACCACAATTTAGACTAAAAAAGTAACGTATTCCTCTTTCATCTGTAATTGAACTGACATTCCTTCGATGAAGTTTACCCTGTTTTGATAATAAAGTGACTACACTCTCTCGCCAGCAAAGGCAGTTTGAGTATCAAATACAACCTAACAACATGACATAATTTAAAATTACATAGATATCACGTTACAAACTTCCGTGACCTTAAAAATGAATGTCTTGTGTGCGAAGAATGATCCAGTTGTCATATGTAGTTGAATTTGACCTTAATTTACATCAATTCTCCTTTATTAATAAGACAGCTGGTTAATTATTCTGTGCAAGATTTTAGACACACATGTATAACTGTATCCGCGCGGTTGTGTGACAAATTTTACAACACAACCTGAAAAGAAGAAATTCGGAAATTGCTGTGTAAATAGTTGACTGTTAAATGTCATATGCATACTATGTAAGGTTTAGACATTGGAAAAAGGTATCAGTATTAATGAAAACTTCTATAAAAAGGTGATTGATAACATCTAAATTAACGCAATAACCTTGATTCTTGACATGCTACTCAACATCATCAATTCTGAAATAACCTTCCAGATTTGACCGCGAAGTAATTTAGAAACTACATCAACACTACAGAGTGCAGCATCCCATATCTTCACCGACCTCATTCAATAGCTATATCACAATGCCATGTATCAGGTGATCCACAACGGGAAATTCAGCGATGAATTTGAAGTGAATACAGGAGTAATACAAAGCTGACTGCTATCACCGATGATATTTCTGATTTCGGTGGATTGGATTATGTGGCACACTGTGCTTGGAGAGAGAGAAAACAGGAACATGTTGAATGGATAAGAAGATTCCAGAAGATCTGGATTACATAGATGATATATGTCTAACGTCACACAAACTCGAAGACTTGCAGGTGCCACCAAAAAATCTGGCTGAAGAAGCTAGCGACGAAGACAAGACTCCAGGTGAGCATAGAGAAAGTGGAGGTGATGAAGATGACCAAACAACCAACAGCTACATCAAACAGCACCATCAACGGGAGAGATTTGACAGAGGTTACTTCTTTCCTTCACTTATCCGGTTAGGAAGCACGGTTTCAACCACAGGCGGAATGGATGAAAATGTTGAAGCCAGCCAGAACCGAAAAGGCAAAATACACCTTTATCAATCTGAAATCAGTTTGGAAGTCTTCTACACACAGCATAAAAATATTCGGATTTTAAACATCAGTCTTAAGTCAGTCACTTCTATATGAGTCAGAAACCTGATCGACGCATCAGGAAAAAGGTTCCTAACAGGCTATGGAAAATTTTTATCAACAGCTGCCTTCGCTCAAATGGCCAGTAAGAATCAGCAATAAGGAACTGTGGGAACAAACTAACCAAGAACCTATCGTTCAACAAATATGTAGGAGAATATGGAGTTGGATTGGATATACGCTGGGGAAACCGTCGAATTACATTACGCGCCAGGCCATTGCTATATTTGAACCTGAATGGCAAACAACGAGTTGGTCGTTGGTCTGAGGGTGGCATGGAGGAGATCGTGTTAGAAGGAAACGAAAATTTGGAGGCAGTCGTGGAATCAGCTAAAGGGGACTGCAGAGAACAGGACAAAATGGTGTGCTTCTGAAGCCCTTTGTTCCACTCGGAAAACAAGTCTGTGTGGAGGTCAACAGCAGTCAGCATCAAAAATAAGATCCGGATTTTCGACTTCAATGTGAAGTTAGTGCTACTATACGGATCAGAGACTTGTCGTGTCATAAAGAGCATCTCAAACAAACTACAGACCTCCATTGACAGTTGTCTTCGCTCAATACTCAAAATCAGATGGCTAGAAAAGATGAGCGATAAAGATCTCTGGGAGCGAACCAACGAGGAACCGACTGTGAAACAAATAGGCAGGAAGAAATGGAGATGGATTGGCCATACTCTGAGGAAACTATCCATCAAGTGACATCACTAGACAAGCCACTGCTCGAGTGGAACCCGAAAGGGAAGCGGCGAGTTGGTCGTCAGTGTGAGGGTGACTTGGAGGAGGTCATGTGAAGAGGAGATGAAAGCGTGTGGGCAGACTTGGAGCCAGGCGAAGAGTCTAGCAGAGAACCGAACGCGATGGAGACGTGAGGCTGAAGCCCTATGTTCCTCTAGGAATTAAAGGAAACAATAATAATATAATACTATAGCAGCTGCTTGCTAACTTATCTTTGGAAATATGATTGAAATATATTGGCAAACAGCTAGTTGAAGAAATCTCTCATAAACAGTTTAGTTTTGTTATAAAGGGGAAAATATGTTTATTTCGTCAAAAGTATTGATTAAAATTTCTGACTACCGATGATTGATCACATTAATAAACACTATCTCACGGTTACTTTCTGTTTGCTTGCCTTCCATTTTGTTCTTCTTTCAGACGAAAATTAATTTTCTACTTTGGTCTTTAGATGCATTTTATATTTTTCAAACAACTGTAACTCCGGTCTTTCATAAATACTTCTGAGTATTTCATTTCCTTTACTTCAAGATTAAACGTTTGGCATCATTTGACTGTGTTCATACTATACACATATATATGTGTGTCCACGGATTCAGAATGAAATCAATAAACCTTTTAGCATAAAAATCAGATTGTCAATTCCTACGCAATTAGAAAGGTTAATGTTGTGTCTGAGATAATAACTGCGCCAAATTACTACCTTACTAAACGTTTGCCGATTTGACTGGAAGTTTAATAAATTTGTTATCCATTTAAAAGTAAAACGTTTAGCGGCAGTATATATCAGGAACTATAAAAAAAGAATACAAAAATGCCGGAAATAGCGTGTAGATTTATTTTCTCCCTAGTCTTACGAAGTCAGTAATCACATCTGTTCCCTAGATGGTGCAAATACTGAAGGCATACTTTTTGTCATAGAGTTACTTTTAAAAAATGAAATAATAAACGATTGCCTTGATATCCGTTAATTCTACACTGTTCAGACAAAAATCAAGAAAGTCAGCCTCCAGTGGAATAGGTCACTAATTGGTCACTTATGAGTAAACAATGTCACATATCTAGTCCTTAGGGCAAGTTAGATTCAGTCTGTTCGTCGCGCGTCGAATATTCTAGTTGTAACATTTCTGACTCCAGCAATTGCTGTGGTGTTTTGTAACCTTTGTGAGGCAATCAGCTGCTTCAGAGTTGCAGATGACTCTTCAGGGCTAAACATCGAGTACTTCCAGTTATTTATTGTCCCAGTTAGCTGTTAAATGTCAAAAGATGGAATTTACTTCGACATTAATGAAATCCCTTAAACCTTGAAAGATCCGTATCAAATATTTTTGGTTTTTTCTAAAGTCAAAAAACAGTCGTTATATTCTATCATAATACCGGTTGTCATTTTCTGCTATAATTAGGCGGTAAAAAATTGTCTGGTTAGACTCGACAAATGAAAAAGGGATGGCGAGAGAAAAAAACACTTTGATCTTGAGAGTATTACTTATACTGACAGTCAGTTTACCGACTATTCAACAAATGCAGAACTGTGGTGAATTAAAGTGATGCTTATCGCTACCATTCCGTAAAGTCAATGAAAATATAATAAATTTATCGATCGATGTAAGTGATTACAGTAGAAGAAAGCTCTAAAAGATTGTCATCCACAAGGTTGTGAAATACAGACTCCTTTGTCTGTTGAGTACGCCCATTGGTCACCGACAGTTTGCGGTTTACTGAAATTTAGTGGTGAAGCTACCAAAATGTTCACCATATCCAATAGTTTATTAGAAGAATTTGATCTGACAACTGTAAATGCAAAATATGTAACTAGGTAATCTGTGTTTGTAAACCATTATATAGGGTCCATTTGAAGTCTGAGCAACTCTACCTATTAGTATATCTGGGAAGACTTCATTTAGAGGATCAAAGTACCTACATAACACCCTTCCTATCCACGCTGTTACTCCACTTCAGTTTTCTGTCTAGCAACTCCTTTATGACTGTGGTTTGCCACTAGCTTTTTGGCTGCATTCAGCACTGTTTTTTATACTTATTTCACAAACTGTTTTGTTGTTTGTTTGTTTTTTCAGTGGTATTACTATCATCAATAGGAAAACATTATGCACGTTATTTCATGCCAAAACGACCAATGTACAGTTCTTGTACATCTCATTAGCCACTTCGCTGACGGCATTTAAGGTCATGTTAGCCGAAAGCAAAAAATAATTTTCAAAACAAGTGCATAGTTGATGCAAAATACAGATTTGTAAAAATATATTTCGCGAAAAAATGGAATGATATGCTTAAGTCATCTGTAAGAAAGCATATGTTACGGAAATAAAAAAAAAGAGAAAGTTGAATTCAACTAATGTGTATTTCTATTTTTGCGTGGGTGTATATTTGTGTATGTGTGTGTGTAAACACAAAACAGATTGTTTACGTCAACTCTGAATCGGTTAAACACTTCAAATCTATTTTGACCGGAAATAGTGTGAGTAATAATACTTTAGCAAGCTAAGGATTTTTAAATGAAAACAACAGATCTGTTTTGTAATCTCTTTCTTCCATTCAAGGTTCATTAACTCCTACGGTTGATTATTTCACGGATATCATTAAGATTTTACAGGTGGTTCAGTAGGCAGAATAAAATTTTTTTTAAACAAATTAGTGAATGAGTTTTTCTTGCAGAAATGTTATTTAAAGGAAGGTTATCACTTGCCAGAACTAAAACTGTGTTCAGTCATATATATATATATATGTATATATATGTATGTATATATATATAAACGTGAAGATTTCTGGAAACCACTTACCTAACGTGCTTGTACTGAAATGAGTGACTTCCGTACATTTTTCTTTCCATCGTAGTTTGCAACTTACCAGCAGTGTATATAAGAAAATTGATACAAGATTGGTTCCAGAAGACACATTGTGCGATTCAGTCGATGGCGGCTTTGATCAGTTCAGGGCATAACATACCGTCCAAGCTCATCTGCGAATAAGTGTCTCCAAAAACACAACATGCCATACCTTTACGGTCTTATTTCAAAAGCACTTTGGAAATCTTTTTATCCAGTTATTAAGCGAGGGATAGAAGTAGAAGAATGTGAGAGTGAGTGAATCTGTGAATCCCACAACTTTCTACTTTAGTGAAAATGCTGCAGTGCTTAGCTTACTAAAGAATATAGAGGAATCTGAAAGCAGGGAAAAACAGCACTTCTGCATTTTCATACTTCATAACAGTTTATTTTTTGATAACGATATGAAATATAAAAATCTTCGAATTTACCACACCACATAGGATCTAACTGAATATCTCAATAACAAACAGGACTATTAATAATCATAGTTACCGAAAAAACAACAGTTGTTTGCATACCACTGAATCTGTCCATCATTGTGCTTATAGGTTTGATATCGCTGAGATACACAATGTGAAAATAGGTTTGCAGCCTAAAGCAGAGCATAACAGTTCGCACACCAATTTACCTAAGGTAAAATCTCAGATCTTACTGTTCAGAATCCTAAGAAGAAACTAGATTCTGTACAGAACTCTTTTTCAGTTCACTTAAGTCGATAGTCCTCCAATTACCTACCAGAAATCTGGTTTTACTAAGCAAATTTAGTCTAAGGGATTTACGCATATCATTCTGAAACACAGTTGCAGTTAGCGTTCGATCCACTGAACTAATCTTCAATTACTCACATTTTTCCGAAAAATAAAGTGTTTATACGAAGCGAATTCTTCATCACTAGAATTTATATCTGAGGAGGGAAAATAAAAGGAAGCATAAATAACTATTTCAAAAATATTTTTGCCTTTTATCCTACTTAAATCTGATTATCTGACAAAAAGAAAGATAAAAGATGAACCCTCTACTCTGTAATATTATTGAATACTTACAAATCACTGATCACCTTCTGTCTTCCTATTTCTTTTTTGTTGTTATTGCTGTGTATTATTTAAAAATGAGAAAAAAAGTTTATTTTGTCACAAGAAAACTGTAAACACTGAAAAATCATTCGCTTTAATCAAGAACTGTAGTAAACAAATGTAAATGAATATCAGTGAATATGTGAGGGAGTGAGTGAGTGAGTGTGGAGGGAGATGAATAAATACGCTAAATGAGTAAATAAATTAGGCTTTAAAATCTGATCAATCAAAATACTCCACAAATCAATATGCAGAAATGACCAGTTTTATTTATTCACTCTCATATTTTTTTCTCTCTGAAAAGCCAAACCGAAAGAAACATGTTTACTGGACACATTTTATTTCGGTGAATAAATGAATGGAAAGTTATGTGGTAAATAAAACGAAATGTTGATTCATTTGTCACTTGTCATTCAAAAGCGGAAATTTACTTTACTAATGAAACGTTTTCCGTTCATTTCGCATTACTAAGCACAAACCTGTACAACGAATACTTGCTTCAAGGAGAGTGTTTCCTTTACTCCAACCAATTTTAATTATTGACTGCTTCAACGTTTTTTTTATTCCTTTACGTTCCCAGTGGAACATAGGGCTTCAAGTTAGAGGCCTGAAGTTTCGGCAGTAGTGGTGTTTATTTTTACGGGATGAGAATGCTAACCTCATGCCCAACCATCCCTCTTTACCAGTCTTATTACTGGCTTAGTGAGGTAAAGGAGTGCGTCGGTGTTTAAACGCACACCGTACATAAAATACTGCCGACTTAAATGAGTAGGTTACCGGTTTGATCATGAGTAGGCATCACTTCGGTAACCACTGGAAAACCAACAATCCTATTTCGGGATTCTTCATCATTACGCACCCACCAGGATTCGAACTCAGGACTTTGCGGCCACAAAGCAAGCTCGTGAGCTATTCAGACACTAAGAACCGAGTATTTACAGGCTAGTCAGACCAGCGCATATTGCTCATTAACTGCCTTGACAACTAC